AGGGGGAACTACAGGGCTTGGCAGCTCCCTGTTTTTCTCTGAAGGTGAATGGGAAAACACAATGGGTCATGGTGGACACAGGAGCTCGAAACTCAACCTTGAGTGATCCACCTTGCAGACTTTCACCCACCTATGTTTCTGTTTTGGGATTTTCTGGCACTGAACAAAAACTGCCTTTCACGGAAGAAACTGTTGTGACTGTGGGAAACCAAACGCTGAGACATGCCTTTGTCTATGCACCTGACTGTCCTGTGAACTTGATGGGAAGAGACTTGTTGGTTCGCCTGGGAGTTGCAGTGAAATGTGCACCTCAGGGAACAACTATGCATTTTCCAGATGGAACTGTGATCACCTGCAGCTCTTCTATCGATACGTCTGTTAAGCAAATGCCCCTGGGTGCCTCTGTTCCATATACTGCTGCTGGACCACCAGCTGATGTATACTGGGTATTGTTAAATACAGGAAATAGTTCCTTGGTATAACAATTGGGTTTATGGGCTCCGTAGATTCACTCTCTCAACTCCTACCACTCTGTTCCTGATCCTCCCCATTGTACTATCTGTCACAGGCCACATCTTTGGCGCCCCCCAATTACACTCAACTGTTTTTTTCTTGATGTTTCTGAGAGACAAGCGTCTGCATATGGTGTCCTCTATCAGACACAAAGGGGGATTAGGAGACTGTTAATATACTGCAGTGTATTGTTTGATGTACAGGAAAAAAGACCTGCTCCATGTGTCAGATATGCAGCAGCAGTTGCTAAATTGACAGAAAAAATTGCACATGTAGTCATGCACCACCCACTGATAATCTTAACTCACGCTATAGTTGCATTTGTGACATCCTCTGCATTCACACTGACACCACTAAGACAGAGCAGGATTCTCAAAGTGTTAACACAACCACACATAACATTTGTACATCAAGAAATCAACATGGCAGAACAAATACTGGAAGGGACACCACATTGTTGCATAACAGCTACACAGGATAGGACCAAGGTGAGGACTGATTTGAGTGAAACACCTTTGGTAAATCCTGAAGTGGAAATGTATACAGATGGCTGTTGTTTCAGACAACCAGATTGTGGGTTGCAGGCAGGATACGCAGTGGTGGAACTAGGGATAGATGAGACGCCCCGAATAGTCAAATAGGAACAGATGACAGGAAGCGTGTCAGCGCAGAAAGTAGATTGGTGATGATATAAATATGGCATGTAAATAGTCAAGCGATAATGCCCCCTCAGTGGCTACACACCATGTTGACACAGACTCATGGACCTGACCACAGGAGTACTGGACAGATGACACATGACTTACAACACTGGTGGATTGATGGTAAGAATGTTGTAGTCAAAAACTTTGTTAAAGACTGCTCAGTGTGCCAGACATGTAATGTAAGACCAGCTCTTAGAGCAGAGGCTGGCAAATATCCAGAACCAGCTGCACCAGGTCAGGAAATCACTATTGATTTCACAGACATGTTAAGCCGTGAAGGTGGGAAACGTTATTTGTTGGTGATTGTGGACTCCTTCTCACGGTGGGTTGAGGCCTATCCCAC